TAATTTCAAATTTAGCCAACAAATCGGCACATTATTTTTTAATCGATAGGTTGCCGTCTGGTCAAATATTTTTACATCGTTCATGAACTGGAAGTTTCTATTGATCTTTGTGACTATTTAGATACTTTGTTTCTAAACTTACTCAGTCTATTACACTATTTATTAATTATTAATTGCTTATTCAATGGATGGCGACTGGGGAGTATCTGCTTTCTGACAGTGTGAATGAGTGTATTAGTATCATACTGTCAGACAGTGGAGACACTCGCCATCTATTAAATTCCGTAAATTGATTTATAAATAATGCAATAAATAAGTAATTAAAAGTAAAGATTAAATTAAATTTAAATTAATAAAAGTTAATTATTAAACAGAAATTACACACCTCTGGGCCCTTGCTGGCCTTGCACTAAAATACGGTAGACTAACTGAGGCTTGCAAGCAGTGATGGGTGCGTGTAAGCAGTGACATCTGGATCTGGATCCAGCAAATACTGCCCCAACTATCCGGATACTGTATCCGGTGGCAAAATACAAATCTTGTTACCCCCTAAATATTAAAATTAGATTATTTAAAACAATAATTTATTTGGTACAATCTCCAGTTATATAAAAGTCTGATGTGGCCTCATATCATAGTTCAATAATTAGAGCCTAGTTGTCAATTCCCTTTACCAAAGTATTCTGCCTCACTTCAGCTTGTCAATTGTTTTGTTGTGCCAGAAAATAATTTGTTGGATAGGTGTTCTGTTTCATTAAAAAAGAATTTAACCATATATATGTATACAAGGGTAATGTCTAATAAATGTAATGGCTGTCATATATGTAGAATGCTCCAACAAGTCTGGAGCAGTGTACTACAATGTTCCAGGAATGCTAAAATTGGTTAAAAGGATGATAAGAATCTTGAAAGAAACAAGGCTATCTAAACTTTCTTCTCAGCTTGTGTTTCTGTGTTTGATCTGGATTTTTAACGTAGCTTTAAGAAATTTCAATCTTATCAATACGATGTCTGTAGTTAATAGTGTTGTCTAGCACTAGAGCATCTTACTGCAGCATCACATCCCACCCAAACACATTATCCTGACACCAGTCCAACCACCCCTAACATTAACCTCTTAATGCTGAGTATCTAGTGAGTCAAAAACATTTTTAGTCTTTGGCATTACTCAGCCTGGGTTCAAACCTGTGACTTCCAACATCCAAGGCCACCAGAGTGGTCTCTTCACTAACAGTATATTTTTATTCATTTAATTAAAGTAATATATGTCAACTAAATCTTATTTTACCATTCCACACTTCCATTTGCTTGAAAGAGTTTGATTTTAATTCCATAAAAAAGCTTCAAAGTAAGCAAAGTCTGACTGAAGCAACATGACTTTAATTTGTCAAAAAAGCATTTATATGTTCCACCAAGTGTGTGAGATGTTACTGAAAATTTGGCCTGTCAATCACCTGTCAGTCAAACAGAAAACGTGCTGCCTTAAGATGTGTCGCCCAAAAATACAAATATCTGGGAGACATCTTACACGTTGGACTTGGATGTATGAGGATCCAAATAAAGAGAATAATTGGAATTCAAAGGTATGTACAATGTGATTCTAACATATTACACACATTACTTAAATAGTCGGTTCCAGATACAAATATGACCTGTATAACTTTTATTAAAGAACACATGATACATGAATATATCTTTTCTGACAAAGAAACCATACAAAACTAATTCAAAAGAGAAAGAAAGAAAAAATAATGCTACTTACATTTCTAGAGGAATCGGACGTCTTATATACCTTCCAGTCATATTCAATGATCTGCTCGAATCACATCATCGATTTCAACCACTACCATAAATAACAGATTCAGATGTAGCAGTTTACTGCCAGATTAGCATCTTTTTTTTAAACAGTATTAATCTATTTATGAAAATGTAAAGATCTAACACAAGATTGTCACGCAAAGTAAGTATTGCAAAATTAAATAATGTCAGACAAATTTACAGATACTGTCATTTTCCAAACACTCTGATTGCGTTCCGTTATGACATAGGCAAACTAGATTAAAATTCTCGCAGAATTTCCAAATTTAGTTTCAAAGGTCTGATGCAGTGATGCCTTTGGATAGCTGTGATTATTGTTTAATTAGGAGAAATAATCATTATATTATTACTCTGTCTATTAATTAAGGACTGTTCATACATAAGTTAAATATTACTGTCAAAGTCGGTGTCAGGCACGCAACATCAGCCATTTCTAAACAAACAATATGGCGATAGGTTTGTATCCCACAATTCCACATCCGTCAGAGGCACTAATTGCTCCCCAGGTGGAGGTCTCAATCGAAATTATATTCCACGGCTATTTCTGCCCATTGGAATATATTCGGTCTTTTCCGTCAAGTATTATAATAATGAATGTAATACCAAGTTATATGTTTATTTTGTTTATATGAAAGACTATGGGTGGAGGAAAGAGACGAAATTACAATTGAAATAACATCAACCTTTGCTGCTATAACCTTTCTGGTATACTCGGCCTTAGGCCATTCACCAAAACAAATTAAATCAATGTGCCTACCACCACTTCACGATCTGACGGAAATGGCCGAGTTATATTCCGATTGTAGTTCTGTGAGTAATTTATAGAAAATTTTGCCCGCCCCGAAATTTTCTCTGAAAAAAAAATATATTATGATTATGTTTACTATTAGATTGAAAGCAAAATTAATTCGGAAACGAATCTACTATTTTTGCGAGATCTGTATGATTAATTAACCTTTTAGGGGCGCTCTAAAAAATCTTATGAATTTGTGAGAGAGTGAAAGGTGTAAAATGAAGTTATTTGCATTTCCATCAATAAAGAGAATGTAGGCATGCCTCTATGTAAGTGTTGCTGATATTTCTTTGACTATTGTACTTATGGAAATTGTAGATTATCTAAAAATGACTGCTCCTATGTGCTAGTTATTAAAAAAAGTCAAATTTTGCCAGATTAGACAGTATCAATGTCTGAAAGTGCAATGAATGAATTATTAAATAAACAAAATGTAAAAAGAAATTTTAAAAAATATTTTTAAAATATCGGCTTTTGACGAGAAACTTCTAAAGTTCAGGAAGTGAAAATGACCAAGAGGAGTTAGCAGTCTTTAGATAAATGCTCATCTGAAGCAAGGCCAAGCAGTATGCTCTATAACAAAATATACTCATCACTTAATCACCAAAAATAAAGGGAATTAAAAGTTTATTTAACAATACCTAAGATATACCAAGTTGTTTTTAAATAGCCAGTATAGTCAGTAAGTAAAACCTTTAAAATTATTTTTCTTTGAAAATGTAACTCGGCAAGAGATGAAACTGTAGAGAGCTGCCACTGGATAGCTTCGTTTTTTTCAAGGTAGAAGGCATGAGCCTAATTATTATTTGCCTAGCATTCATAAATTCACACAGAAGCTAACTCTGTGATGTGGTTAATGTTTACTTTGAGTTAGGCTTGAAAATCGGCTGGCTTGTTTTGTGACTGCCTGTCACAGTTAGATTAGCACTAGAGATCGAATGCGTAATATAGGCTGCAAATGAACAGCCAACTTGGCTTACGGATAATAATGATTAAATATTATTATAGTGCTGAGCAAATCCCATAGTTCGATGTCCCGGACTAGTCATTTTTAAATCGGGCAAGTACAATTTTTCAAGTCGCTAGCCCAAGACAAGTGCTTTTTGAAAAAGTCGGGCTTGTCCTTATTTTCGTACTTTAAGCATTATATCTACCTTTATTTGGATAATCATGCTCTTCGGGCGTACTTAATATTTGATTCTAGCCCTTCTTCGTGTATACATTTACATCTTGTTACCACTTGACTACCTATTGGGCTACGCGACCAAATTATCGGCAAATCAAAATAAATCAATCAAAAGAAAGCCAGTATGATCAATTAGCAGTATTGTAAATATTACGTGACTTTCATTTATATATTCTATTTGTTTTCCCACAGCAACGTTGTAAAGGATTAAGTGTTGCTATCACGTGACAATTTGAACCCTGAAGTCATTGACCTTTGGGTCGTTCGACTTACGTAGTCCTATGACTCGAAATGCAAATAAGATGTTCCAGGTCAAATTTCATCAACGCTATAGTTTCGGCTAGTCTGTCAGCGGATTAAAATATATAACGAATACTATACTCGCAATATCTGAGAAAATAACTCATATTCTTATCATGCAGGTGTATCTCGATGACATGTCGTTTAAGTTTGCTAAACCGGTTAGCAAGCGGCTACCCGATGCCGAAACCAAGTGGTATCTGTGAATTCCATCTTTTCGATAGGGAATGGACTCTGACCCTACGCCCCAACATAAATGTCTAAATATCAAAAATGGGGTGGTATTGCTCAGAGGAAACTCAGACTAGACCATAACAAGCGACTCACTATGATTTTAATGCAGTGAGTCATTGTAATTAAATTGATAATAGGTATTTTACCGATATCAGTGTCGGTTTTCTTTATGAACTGATTAAATGACTAATGATTCTTTAATTTATCATTGATCATACAGGTGATCAACTTCCACATGCGATATTGTGTTTGATGTTATGATCAATTTAGAAGTAGTTATCAAGCAAGCTGATAGACCCTTTGTTGATAAAATGAGTTTACTAAACTATATATTAGTAAGGAAGGTAATAACGGCGATTTGGAGAAGTTAAATTTGTTTGAAAATGGACGGATAAAACGTAAGGCGGACAATGAGTGTGCGGTAGCTATTTCTGGAGAGAGAGAGAGAGAGAGAGAGAGAGAGAGAGAGAGAGAGAGAGAGAGAGAGAGAGAGAGAGAGAGAGAGAGAGAGAGAGAGAGAGAGAGAGAGAGAGAGAGAGAGTTAACTTCCAATCAGTTACATCTTGAGATGATACCCACGTGTTTCATTTTTGATTTATTACAGCAGAGAAAAACTAGTTTAATTCTAGGAGATTAAATTAATGTGTATTACAACTATTTTGTCTCCGCTCCGGTAACCTAAGTGGTTACAGCGTTCGCCTCGGATGTGGAAGGTCGCGGGTTCGTAACCCGGCCAAGTCAAACCGAAGAGTTATTTTTAAAAATACTAACAGCTGCCTCGCTTGGTGCTCAGCATGGAGTGGTTAGTGTTAGGACTGGTGTCAGGATAATATTACTAGGTAGGACATGACACAACATGACTGCGGCAGGATTATCCAGTACTAGACATCACTATAAACTGCCACACTGCAGACATCGTAGCAATATAACTTTGTTAAATAAATAAATCACACTCCTTGCACACACATTTTATCCCGTCTGCGAAAGCCGTAGCCGTCTAAGGCGCTGGCGTTTACAGAACACTTATACATCTCCTATCCTTTCGCGTGGGTTTGAGTCTCAGTCTCAGCTAACGTGGTTACGTGTTTCATCTAGTGCTGTATACTAGCGGATCAAAACTGCGTTAATCCTAAGGTGCATTACAGCTTTTCAGAGAACAGAAACTAACGTGAAATATAATTATAAGCTCACTAAATCTACCTTCAATTTGCAGGTGCTCGCCTTTACCGATCACTGCTATCTCACCTCTGTCCGCGTGGGTTCGAGTCAAAGGCGTAGCTAATGTGGGTAGGTGTCTAACCAGTGGCTTCCCGTTTGTCGGTAGTTTTAACCGGGGTTTCCCGAGTTCTTCCTCCATCAAGTTATACTGGTGGACATGTATAGTTTTTCTTGCGTTGAGAAATACCGTTAAACCCAAAAATAACAACAACAAAAGCAACGATTTTTCGCCTTTTTTAACCAAAACAAAAAATGTGTATTTATGCAGACATTATCAAGTCCAAATCTGACAGCATTATTGTCTACATGGAGTAAATATGATGAAAGTTTTCAAGCAATTATTGTTAATTTCCTCCCGTGCATTACCAATTAGTAAATGCGTGTACAGAAAGAGGAAAGGAAAAATGATACAATGGATACAAAAGGCTGCTATCGTGTACACTGATCACGCCATTTTCTTAGGAAAACCTTTATTTTGTCTAACAAAAATGCTGGAAAAATTGTTGGGAACATCACCATCTTAAGTTTTTTTTCTTTGAAGTTCTTAATTAATGACGATGGTGCTGAATGGGGTCCACCATTCTATTTACGTTGTACTTGCTTCGTACGGGATTAGGGTTAACGTTTTTTATTTTGCCTAACCCCATCCATTCGTATCAGTACAAGTTTTGGGGGCTAATTTACCGGACCATATGAACAAGATACTGACAGTCCAACAAGGAAGTAGTCCTCTGTTTCAGGAAATAAAAACAGCCATAAACTGGACACAGGTAAACAGCCAAAATTTACACCTTTAGGTTACGGCATGCAAAATTTAAATTAATTACGAATAATATTGTCTTTTTTGAAGTTTTGTACATCTGACGTCATTACGGATGATTTTAACACTTTCTTAAGGGGTGGGATTTAACAAAAAACAAACAAACAAACAAAACGTAACAACCTGATATTTGCTGATATTCTTAAGGGGTGGGATTAAAAAAAAAACAACCAACGTATCCACCTGATGTAAATAATTCGCAAGAAGAATGATTATATTTTATTTCAATTAGAATATTAATGGCCTTTTCTATCAAGTTGAGAAAAAAAATATCGGCATGCAGAACTACCTCGACTATTTCTGCAAAAGTACGACGTATATCGATGCAGTAATTTATGGAAAAGTCATATACTTTGTTAGTCGAAACTTTCTTTCCACCCCACCCAAAAAAAGCATCTACTAGGACATGGGTCGGCAACCTACGGCACGCGTGCCACAAGGTGGCACGTCAAGCGGTTTTGTGTGACACGCGTAGGGCAACCAAAATCTCGATTTTAACAGTGTTACTCTCTTACTCTTGGTACGCGCTAGTTCATTTTCTAATTAATCTTGAAAAAAAGTGGCACGCTATGTAAAATAGGTTGCTGACCCCTGTATTAGGACACTCTTCTCTAGTTTTGCCAGTGGACCGACTTTATAATTGACTGACATGTTACGAACGAAAAACTAGTTCCATCATTCGCAACATCTCGGTCAATCATTGTTTGCTAAATAGTTAAAACTGTCCGTACATCACACGTCGCAAAGGAGTTTCGTCTTGTATATGTTTTTTTTTCTTTTTTTTTTATTATTTATTCCTCTAAGGTTTTCACCTCTTTTTGCATTTCGTTCCATCGAATTTTGTATATCACTGCCACTTTGTTGATACAAGTTTTGGTATCCAAAATCATTAAGGAGTCAGTTAATTATTGATCAATGTCTAACCATGTGAATATTTTCAAAGAAATCCGCGTTTTTATACTATACAGATATCAGTAATTAAAACGGGTATGTGCTAGCGGATGCTATTGTTTCTTGCTTTTCACTTGTGTCTTGACAAATTTTCTGTAATTGCGTTGAGCAGCAAAAGAGAGGGTGGACAGACCATTTTGCTGGAGACCTTATGAAAAATACCGGTTCCTACCAAAGTTAAAATATAAGGTCAATAACGCCAAATCAAAACCTCTAACTGACTATGAGATTTCTCTGATTGGGTTAGCTCATTTTGTTACTTTACCTTTGACGCATGTATTTTCATTTTTCATGGCGTGTCTGTTTACTCGTCGGTCACTCACAATTGGTCTTCACCCTATCTGCTGCCGTAATGTAAACCAAATCTTTTATTGATACCTATACGTTACCTCGACCGAGGGTCATGTAAATTTATTGTGATAAACCCATGTGGGGCAGCTTGAGCCGCTGAAAAGTTTTTAAACTTAATCACGTGAGTATCCCTTGAACTCCAAGCATAAAAAATATTTTGTAAAACATAATTATACTCCATTAAACATAAGTAAAACATTGCAATTATCTCCAATCATTTGTTATTTGTGTATATCGCTGAGTATAATCAGTATTTTTGTGTCTGCCTCTGTAAAATGTTCTGGCAGGATTAGATTGGTCAGCATCCCATCATCGTATACTACAAGATTATTGATGCATCAAACCGAGCTGATCTACAGATGGAGCTTCATCAATATCGGTGATAAAATCAGTACTATTATTATCTTTATCCAGCAACTTTGCATTTTCATTAAATTCTTTAAGTACTTCACAACATCGTTAATCATCTGCAAATGGTGCCACTAAATACAACTTATCTCACTTGAGCCATCGCATTATCAGATCAAGCAATAATTGTGTTTTACCAGACCCAGATGGGTCAAGTATAATTGCTCTGATAGAATTCGGTAGCGCTGGATGATGATTGACTGGCTCCTATTTTCGTGTCCTTGAGAAGTCAATTATATCCATATAATAAATAATATTAATTTTATATTATGTTCGATGCAAAGCACCCACCCTCACCATTGAATTAACAACAACAATAATAACATTTAAATATAAAGCGTGCACTTACAGGCAAGTGCGTGAAATGTTGTATAAGCAAATACAAATTTATCTCCGACAAATCAACGAAGACAGAGGGTCATATTGCTGCTTCACTTGGAAAATTACCAGGTACTCCGTGGGCTAAATAATATGAGAACCCGACTTATTATACTATCATCTAACATGAAAACCACTTCCTGCTATTAAACCTGTGGTTATATGTTTGCTTTTTCTACATGGGTACACCAGTTAACATTGCTAGTTTTTGATTTGCAGCCTGATTTATTTTTTTGTTAGCATTTGCAAGCATGACTTCAACGTTGGGTAATTTTACTGGTTGAGATTTTCGTCGTATTAATCGTGTTATTCTAATGTTGATTGATGAGAATGCTTTACTAGCAATATCACCAACAGCACCAATGTCTTTTTCACAAACAAAGTCAATAGCTTTCATTCCTAGTTGCTTTCCAATTAGTATTGCTTTTGGGATTATCCTTCTAAAAAGACCCTGAACAACATCAGAGTCCATCATCGTATATTACTTTATATATCGGTAATCGCGATTTTATCACCCTGACCATGGTCGGACTACATTGAGCATTATGTATGATTAATTTATTGTATTGTCACTGATCCAATTGTGTAACCTTAATTACTGAAATAATCATCGGCGATTTCATTAATGAGAGACTGATATACATTCACATCCATGATACCGCCTGTTAATAATTTCTGACAAATATCGGCTGCTTCATTAATGATTTCTGGAGAATTATTTCCGGCTCGCTTTCCGCTAATCACAATTTCTAATCGTTCAATATCACCAAGGATGTTATTGGGACATGAAATAATATGACCATTTCCAGATGTTTCTTTCTTATTTGATGAACGTAATTTTTTTCTTCTAATTTCTTAAGATTCTAAATCTTTTTGTTTCAGTTCGTTCAACCTCCTCAAGTTTTGACTTTAGTTTTTTCTTTTTGTTTTCTTGATTGTTTTGCTTCTTCATGTTTTGACTTAATTTCTTCGTGTTTTTGTTTTCTTGCTTGTTTCAGTATTTCAATATACTCACTGATTTTCAGATTAAAAATATTGAGATTAGTGATATCTCTCTCATATTTGATTTGCGGAGTATCAGTAGCTATGCGATATACATCTCTAATCCAATCGGCAGATCTAATAGTTCTAACATATTTGGGTGTTACATACTTATCTTTTTCATGATATCCAAACGCTGAAATATCAGCTATTTTGTCTGGTTTTTGATAGCGGCAATAATCTGCGATGCTAGTTCTGACTCTTGGCCGAGGTTGTGGCCGTTCTTCACATGGTGGTTGAGGAGATTGCAGGGTTGGTGGTTGAGTTTCTTGAATACAGCCATCAATATTGACAGGCAATGTTTCATGAGCTTCTGTGTTGCTTTACTTGCTTTAACAATTTCCTTTGTTGGTTCGATAATTGGCTTAAATACCTGTTCTGTACCTTCAAAGAACTCAACTTAAGTTTCCTGACGATCTTGAAGTTGTTATTTAACATTATTATGAAGCGGAATATATATTTTTAATTCGCTTTTAGTTAATCTAGCTGTATGAGATTCTCAGATCATTATTGATATAGTCATGATTTAATTACAGCATCAGAGAGGATGACGACCAATAGCGAGTGGTGACGAGCAAACAG